TTTTTTTTTCTTTTTTTTTTTTTTTTTTTTTTTTTTTTTTTTTTTTTTTTTTTTTTTTTTTTTACTTTTTCCAGGCAAAACACTGATTTGATAGGACAACCTTTCCATTACTAAAACTTTCCAAATTTTTCAAAGCCAGTCAGTGATTTTAGGGGTGTGACTACTCTTTAAGGCTTTTGCAATTGCAATTCTTGCAGCCACTAGAAAATGAGCAATCAGTTTCTTATGACTTTCATGTTGTAGAGTTCTCTGGAAGATTCAATAGGAACATTAAGGGGTTATCTGCTAGTTCGCATCCTGTAATTTCCCCTGCCATGTCTCCAACCTTATTCCAGAACAGTTTAATTCTGGGCCATGTCTACCATGTGGTAGAATCCTCCCAACTGACCACACTGTCTCCAACATTTTCCTGTTGCTGTACCGTAATTCCTTCCCCATTTTTAACTAGGCAAAATTTGTCTATACTGTAAGATTCAGTACTGAGGTATAATTATTATTTATCTTGCCTTTGTACCACAAACCCCTCCACCCAAGAAGGTCACTGGCAGTGACAATCCAACTCAAGATATGTTTGGAGCCAAAAGCATAAGCCTCTACTCTCTGAACAACCACTGTCTGGTTCAAGCCTGGAGCCAAGTAATAAAAATCTATCATTCAATTAGGAAAGGGGGATAGATCCACGTTATGTAAGCATGTGTTACATCTGCATTACAGTATATGTATTTATGTGCTGGGCTGGGAGGAAAACCTCATATGAACTATCTGTGATGGTCTCTTCTTTAATGCTTTTATGCAATTTTCCAAATGTTCTCCTCTCAACACCACCAATCCATCATCAGTGAATTATACTTCTCAACACCTTTGTGATATGAGAAAGTATCATTATTCCAGTTGTGTAGATGAGGATTTGAAGCACTCAGAAATTAAGTGACTTGTCCAAGGGGACACAAGAATTTTGTGGCACAGCCAGGAACCCAGAGTCCAACAAAAATCTCTGAACAGTTAGGTTTGTTTCAGAGTTCCTGTAAAAAATTATATGTGTACAGGACACTATACCTAGTACTCTATGGTGCTATTTATCACCTTATGCAACAGGCATTCTTTAGTAATAAGAAATCTAGCCAAAGCAAAACAAAGAGGGAAGTTTGAGCCTATTGAAATCAACAAGAACAAGCTCTCTTCTCTCAAGACTTTACAAGCTACAGTGGTAATAACATTTTGGGAAAAAGTGATCTGATTTCTGAGATAAAATGTATTTAAGGAAGACTAAATAGTTCTTGGAACTATATCTGTCTTTAGAAGAGATATGCAGGGTCTGACATGGTGTTAGCTGTATATTAATTTTAAAACTGGAAATAATAAAGCTGGCGTTGCCAAGGTGGAAAAAATATACTTTAAGATGTTTGAATTGTACCATAAACTTTCAGCCAGAAAAACAGACTGATGGAATTCTGAAAGCATTTTTTTGTTTTTCTGTACATCCTGAGGTTAGTGCATGATCACTTCTTCTAATCAGCTCTTGGAACAGAACAGAAAGGCAGGAAAAATCACAACAGCATATTCTAGAATGATTTTTTTTTTCTCATCTTCATACATTCAGTGGAGGAAACTCCTCTACTATTTAGATAAGCTGTTTCCTTCCCTACTGAGAGAAATCTTGGCCTATTAAAGTTAGTAAGAGTTTTACTAATAACTTTAACGAGGCAGAATTTTGCCCATTATCTTCAGGTACCCAGGTAATTGCATATCCATCCAGAGGTTGTTATTAAAAATATATATATGATTTTAGAAAATACTCAAAACATGGTGAACATCATTTTAGGAGTGCAGTGGGGGGAATGAACATAAGCCTCAGAAGTGGTAAGAATCCTGACTCATTTGGTACTTTGCTAAGATTTCTACAACATTTATGTTCAAGTCTCCTCTTGCAATTGTTCATATCCTTGAATGCTTTGCTAATAGATCAGATGACTTCCTTTTTTCTCTGATATAATTAGAAATCCAATAGGGAAACTGATTGTTGAGTTAAAAATGTAAAATCCAGGTGTGTCAAACATACAATGCTCCTAAAGGGGCTGAGAAACTGGGGACAGGGTGAGCAGGGGCTGAGCCTGCCACCAACATCCAGGGTACAGAGTCCTAATAGGGAAGGGCATCAGTGACAAGGGATAAGCAACAGCTTCATTAACTCCTGGCTCCCTGATGCCATTTACCCCACTGCCGCTACTCATCCCACCACTGGAGATGGGTGTGGATCTAGCCTATGAAGGACCCAGTGGTCTGGATCTGGTGTTGCAGGTGCCGAACTATTTCGACACCCCTGCTGTTACCCATGCCAGACTAACAGATTAGCTGTGCATGAGAATATTTTCCTTTCCTCTCTATACTGTTTAAGCTTCCTTCTGACAAATCACATGGAAAGAAGGATGATACTTGAAAAATAACCAGTAGAAAAAAAGAACATAGATGGGTGCATCTGAACTTTCATATCCTAGGTTATATGGCCAAATTGCCTCTAAAGGCAAGGGAATTAAATTGTGAAGCAAGATGCACATAAAATTGCCTTCTTCAGTGTATGATCCCGTATCAACTGGTAGACCTGTGGACCACCTCTGTTTATAAAGATACTTGAAAAACTGAACATCTTTTTCTTTTAAGAGCCAAAAAAGGAAATGGGCTATTACAGGGAGAAAGCGCTGTCCCGTGGTTACAGCCAGTGACTAGAGGTGACGAGCCATAGGTTCTAAACTCTGCCAGGAAAAATTTCAGGTGAGTTTTAAATATACAGAATTTGTAATCTATGCTTTTCTGCCAAATCTCCCTCATTTGAACAGAAGGCAAGGCAGGGTGACACCTTAGGCTATCACACTTTATTTAAAGCCCTAAAAGAATAAACATTCGCCTTTCGGGGGGAGGGGGACAGTACCTGCCTGCACCAGCTGAAGCCAGCAGGTGAGGGTGCTCCTGCACACCTCCCAGGAGGGAGAGTTGTCCCTCTCCCTTGCCCTGCCCTACCCCCCCCACCCTGCAAGCTGGGGTCCCCATCACAGCTTGCTGGCTGGGATCTTGGGTGGGGGGTGGCAGATTGGGACGGGTCTGTACCGCAGGGGGCTCCCTTCCTTCTGACCTCAGTTCCAGCAGGGTGAAAAGCTGGGCTGGGTAGCCTCGCATTGTGGCTCCTGGTTGCAGCTGTCAAGGGTCTTGGTGAGGGCCAGGCCAGGTCCACATAGCAGAGAGGCTCTGTTCCTCCCCCTCACAACTTGGCTGTGCACAAGGGAGACAGAGTCTTTTCTGTCTCCTTTCTGTGACAGCCTGGGGGCAGGGCTGGGCCAGTGCTCACCCAGAGCACAGCACTGGCCAAGGCTAGCTAGCCACTCAGCAAGGGGCCCCTGGGATGCCAGGGGAATGTGACCGAACTTGACTTGCAATGGATGTGACAGACTTTTGATAAAGTGCTCTAACTAAAGCTTGATCCATTATTCATCCCGTGCTTTAGTCCGATACCACATCCAGCAAGAAGTAGGATCCATCATTTTTAAAGCGCTTTATGTGCCAAGAATATCTGTTCTGTTATGGCTTTGAAGCACTTTCTGATAAGTGTAACATCTGTGCTTAGCCTTCAAGACTAACTAGTTGAGAAATGTATCACCTTTCATAGGCAACAGCTTGCTTTGTCAGATGCTATGAAATGAACAGTGAATTTCTAAAGATCATGGGGCTCAAAAGGGACCTCAACAGTCATTTAATCCACCCCACTGCACAGATGCAGGATTTGCTATTCCTGAACCATGACAGACAGATGTCCATCCGGCCTCTTTTTGAAAACCAGCAATGAGAGAGATTCCACAACATCCTTAGGCAGATTGTCTAATAGATTTCAAATCCATTTGGAAAAAGAAAACAGCTAAGAAAGCAGTTGCATATAAAACAACTATTTTACCTTCTTTACTGAAGTCACTTTTCATACTTTATTTTAGTGACTGATACTTTGTAGTTAAGGTAGTTATTTTAGCCTCTCATAATTTAATGGATTTTTTTCTTTAAACAGTGTTCCCACACAAGCACTAAGTACAATTTTTTGAAGAAGATCCTGCTTTTATCAAGATTGGATCATCTTCAGCAGGACCATATCCTTACTAGGATCACTAATGTGAAAGGGAAGAAGAGCTGTCGTCTCTGTTTATTACCCCAAAGCTGAATTGACTTATGCACAGCGGACATTGACTATACTGTTTAGGCAGATGTTTCAGTTATGTAGACATTCTTGCAGAATGTACTGTATTTGCTTTTCTCAAACACATGTAGCTAGCAGATTTCTGATTAAATTCACTTATGATTAGTTTAAGCAACCCATATTCAGCAGAGGTAATCTGAATGAGTGATTTGACAGAACATAACATTTTCACAAGTGCGCAAGCAGAAAAGCATAACCTTGCTATAAGACCCTTGTCCAATTCTTTAACAGGTTACAAAAAGGATATTATGCATGCCACTGGACTACATAACTTTTCTGCTACTAAAGGTATAAAATATCACAACACCAGAAGGCACTACGGATTTCTTACTGTCAACATTAGCTTGAACACAGTAAGCCCAAAGGATTTGTGTGAAAGATCTTCCTTTAAAGCCTCATTGCTAAGAGTAAAACCTTCATGCCGTACATACAGGAGGTTTTCACAGTACTGAGTTAACTTTTAGGTCACTAGACAAGACTATACTTTTGACAACTGTGGTGTTGCCAAACCTAAGTATTCAAATAGGATAAATCAGCTTCCCTCTTGCCAGTTACAAATGTGTGAGGCCCTTAACATTTCTAAATGATTTGTTGGCTTTTTAAATTCGTTTTCTAGTGTTTGAGCCTTGAGAGTGCACCCTGAATATACTTTCAAGATTTCCTCCATGACTAATTTTTAAATGAAAGATGAAATTCTTACATAAATCACTTTGAACCTAGAAGCTGAAGCTTTAGTTAAACAAATAAACAAAAAGCCCCCCTTAATCATCAAGTGTTGCGAGACCCATGATGAAGCAGGAACTCAGAAGTGGGAAACACAAAGCTCTGCATTGCATGGCTGGGGTTGGGTAGTTTGAACGAGGGCACCAGCGTTCTTTCCAATTCGAATTCCTTCCCTGCCACTTAGTACCCAGGAAGAAACAAGGGAAGACAACTCCATTGCTCTGGAAAACTCCAGCTACTTTACAGGCCTAATGGCTCCAAAGTAATACCATCCTCTATGCCTGGTGTTACATGAATTCCTTCACAAAATTCTCACCAGGTACCAAACACAGTCCACAAGAGCACCTTAGGCCAACTGGCACTAGGCCAGCAGGTAGATTTTCTCCTTTAAAATTTGGGTTTCAGTATTAAGGGCAGGATTTTCCAAACTCATGATGTCACACATTTCTCACAAACCAGGACTTAGGGAGCTGTAGAACAAGGCCTTGACACATCCTGGCCATGGGGACCCTCGGATTGGGGAGAGGTGTCTCGATCCTGGGGACCCCATAGTGCCAGGACCTTAAAAACCCATGTGTGCAGCCCAGCTGCACATGAGGTTTTTTGACCTCCCAATACAAGCAGGTTTGGGACTGACCTCAGTATGGTCCCAGGACTGGGACCAATAATCAGATGATTGTCAGTCTGAGTCCAGGGACCCACTGGAGTCGAACTGACCCTAGTGTGTTCCCAGGGTTGGAACCAGCCATCATGGCCCTGGGCTCCCCCTGCACTGGCAAGTAGTAATGGACTGATTGGGATCTGCTCCCTGATCCCAAAAAAGCACATGTCCTGCGTGTGGCATGCCAAGAGATGCAGTTGTTAGGATTGGGGATCATGCCATTAAATGAACATGTGCCCAGGGCCTAAGAGCCAGAGACACAACTCTCATAATTTAACAAATAAGACTCTAATCCTGCAAGCCCATGATGCTTAACTTTAAGCATACATATAGCTTCATTGGCTGCAATGGGGCAACACCTCATGTAAGGCAAGTTAGGCAGCTGCATAAGTGTATGCAAGGTTGGTGTCTACTCTTTTTCACTTTCTCAAAGGAGAAACAAACAGCTTATTATGGCACTGCTTTAGAAAGAAATAGTGTTGGTATTATTAATAACTAAATGCTGGGCTAAATTCCTAATGTTTGTACAACATGGTATCAACTGGAAGGGCACCGTATGATCACTGAGTTTCGTTCTGCAAAGCATTTCTCAATTTTTTTGAAAAACCCAAACTCACCAAACCCAGATTACTGTCACTGTTTAGATTAAAGTGTCCACAGTTACAAGATTCAGCCTATTGCAATTTACATAGCTCAGAGCCAATGCTAAGAAAACTCTGTACTCAATCAAGGCAGCATCATGAACTACCATACTTCTTTCTGGAGACTTGAGACTTGACAAAAAAGCAGCCAAAACCTCACATCAAAATTCCCTGGGTTTCTTAAAATGAACCAAACCCTCCCAGCCATTGCCCTTAAAGACATTTGTCTGCCTGTTGCAGAGACAGAAAGACATAAAATAAATTGCTACAACTTAACACCTTCAACTTTTTGGAAATTACAAGTATGAATCCAAATTTCATAGATGAATTTTCAGGAGACTAAAACCAAAGATCCCTGAAAAGTGGCAACCTTGGATTCCAATCACAATTTAAGTGATTTGATCTCGTTCTTAAACAACTTGCAGGATGTCATCCTGTTCACCAAATGTTAATTTTTAATCCATGAAAACCAAGTTTCCATTTGAACAGAAGGGTCCTACTGACAACTGATCAGAATTCCTGCAGGATTTTTGTCCACTCATCTTACAGCAAATAATACGTTCTATTTTATTTTAACTCACACATTACTCACAGCAGAGTTTTGGGGAAGAGTCGTCATTCAGAGATGTGTGTACAATGAAGTGAACTAAAGAAAATACTGGTTCTCTCCTGCTCAGTTTCAATGTTATAAACAGCTACTGGTGTACTGTTAAGTCAAGCTTTTGCACTGAAAAAGGTGAGAAGACAAAATCCTGGTTTGGCTTGACCTAATTTGGGGGTTTCTTGTGAATTTAGTGGCATACTACGGCCTTTACTGGGCAGCAATCACTGAACATATTAGAAAACAGAAGCTAAGGATTAACCTCTCATTAAAACTACTGTTGACCTTATGGGAGTGATTATTTATTAGTCAATGAAACTCTTGGCATAACCTCACAGCTCATATAGCTATTCATGTTTATTAGCAAACCAAAAAGAAAAAATCACCAAGAGTTAATGTTATTAAATCACTCAATACTTTAATGTTGTTTGTGTTACCCTGTAAAGCATCATGTTATCCAGGAGGCAATTAAGATTTAAAAGTATATTAAATTTATTAATCTAATTATTACTGGTCATTGATTTGGTGACCATATTAAAAAAAAAGACTGAACAAGCTATCTTTGTTTTGTCAGAAGAGCAGGAAATTTTTGTTAGAACACACAGAGTTAAAAAGTAACGACTTGGTTTTATTCAGATGTTTTTGGAGCACCACATTTAAATCTGAGAGAGATTATGAGAAAATTTGCTGCAGGCTGTCAGACCTCATTAAGTTAATGGAACTGGTAAATTGGCTCATTTCCAGTACATTGTAGAAAGAAAAGTGTTTTCAGCTAAAGAGTGAAGGGGATCCAGTTTCGCTTTGACAGCTCAAGGAGATTATTAGCTATAAATAATAGCTGCAGCGAAATGACTTATATGGCACTGCTTGATTAAAATGAATGAGGGGGAGACACAAAATCCTGAAGTTTTAAAATAAATTATACAGTCTCCTTGTTGAACTTAATCTAAAAAAAGCTATTTGTATACATTTCTGTTAAAAGCACTGGCAATTATATAGCTGACCTTAATGTCTTCATAAAAAGCTTTACTACAGCTAAAATCACCAACAGAGTGAAAACACTTCATTTGAAATGGACTTAATATTCTATGGGAAATAAAGAGAGAGGGAGGTTAGAATATTGATTGTTCAGCCCACATTGCTGATGCATCAAGACATGCAGCACAGAGGTTGATCGTCTCTCTCTGTAGTATTGCTGACACTATGTCTGGAAAACCACATACAACTATATGCCTCAACAGTGGGAAAAACATCAGTACCAAGAAGGAATTCAGAGCACAACAATTAAAGTGTTGAATAAAATTATGAGACAACCTTTCATTATGTTTTATGCTGTACCTGTGTTTTAAACAACTGTGAAAATGAGGGAAAGAATTAAGTATAGTCAAGTACACAATGCTAAAGATGGAAAATATCATCAAGCGGATCCCAGAGCATATAATGAACAATACTTAATATTAAAAGAAAGGAAATTTTCCATAGGCATACTCAACCTAACAGTGATATCTATGAGACTGAAATAGTCTCCCAAAGGAAACAGTGGAAGATCCATTGGTTGAGTGATGTAATCCTAGACTAGACAAAACACTATGAAATATACTATAGAGAACTTCCTGCCTTGGCAGAGATGGACATGACAGCTTAATGGGGCTTGTCCTGCTCCAGATTCCAAGTCTACAAAATGGCTTCAAGGAACAGTGTGCTGGGTATTTTCACTCCATCATTAACTAATATGAAGAGATTCGGGTCAGTCTAACACATGGAATGCTTACCAGATCCTGCACCCAAATGCCACTGAAATTGCAGACAGCGCATTGAGCCAATGTGCATTTTCAAGTTTCTTGTGTTGAGAGCACAACCCATAATATTAAGGTCTTGATTCTACACCTTGCTTCTGAGTAATCCTATCAAATGAAGGTGTTTCCATACCACCAGTGAAACTTTCAAATTGAGATTTAACAAAATATTGAACAAAATGAGCATACCCAAAGTTCAAACACCCTCATGTTTTGCTCTTATTGAGATCTGGGTCTGGATTTGGGCTTCAGACATCCCCAGTGTTTTGGATTTGGATCTGAGTTCTTTTTTCGGGCTTACCTCTGCTTACCACTGCTTTCAAGATGGACAAGTACTCTCTTATTCTTCTGAGGCAATTCGGGCATTTGTGAAAGATGCTGATTCACAGCACTGGAAAATGAGGTCCTATGTTTCATGTATACATTGGCAAAAATAGTTCAAATTCTCCTCATATCATCTTTTTTGTCCCTCTATCTTTTTCCAAAGAGTCATAGCTACTTAAGCAAAATGTGGGTCAGCCTCCATCTATTCAATCTGTGGTTTCTCTACTGAAGCTGCCAGCAATGGTGGCATTTCA